ATTTATTGTAGAGATGAGGTCTCGCCTGTCCAGGCGGGTCTCGAACCCGCGGGCTCAGGCCATCCCCTCACCTCAGCCTCCCAAAGGCGCGGGATGACAGGCTGAGCCACCGAGCCCGGCAGAACTCCTATTTTTAAAAAAATACATTATACACATTTGTGCTCCCAGAGAGTTCACTGTCAAATCCACAGAACACTATTCCTCACTTCTTCAACGCTCTCAGTGCCCACGGGGACAGAGGGACAGATCACTGGAGAGCATCTACCCCTGAGCTCACAAAGACCCCGCAAACTGAGGAGGGAGGGCTGTGCCTTCAAGAACTCACCGCTGTCTGAGGGGAAGAGAACGCTGACAAACCAACAGCCACTCACCCTTGGTACTCGACAGAATAGGATACTGTTCCTCCAGGCACGACCACCGGGCTCCACCTCAAGAGATGCTTCAGGTTGGTTGAGTGCACAGAGAGGTTCTGTGGGGCGGCCAGGGCCCCGGCACCACCTGGGATCAAAGCAGACAGGTGGGCTCAGGGCGGGCGAATGTCACCGCTTCCAACGGGCGTCTGATGAACAGCCTCACGTGCTTTTAGGCCAGAAGCCGTTCGAATGTCATCCTGCTTGTGTGAATGCTACATTTTCGCTGTCATCGTCGTGGCTCTGCCTTTGGTGATAAAATGGCATCTTAATCGAAAAGACAACGACGGCCGATACGTATCGAGCACTCACTATGCTCCACCTAGGCCATGTGCTAGCTTGTTACACGATGATCTCACTTAATCCTCATGACCATACTGGGAGGTAAAGACCCTTCGCTTCTTCACTGTATCCATGAGAAACCGAGGCGCATGACTGACCACTCGTGATGTCAGACGGACCCGGATGGAGGCCGCGACACTGCCACGCACTGTGTGGCCTTAAGCAAGTCGCATAGACCCGAGTCTAGCTCACTTCGTGGCAAACCCATGCGGGCTCCTGTGAGCTTCTCATCACCCCCTTCTCCTGTCGCTGCCGTCCTCAGATGCCAAGGCACATCCCTGCATGTCCCCCAGAAAGGCCAAGGAGGGCATCAGCTGCCAGGTGAGACGTCGGACTCAGCTCTGACGTGGAGAGAGTCCAGAAGGGCACCGAACCAGCACCAAGCCAGCTCCGAGACTCTACCCCAGGGAGGCTGCAGGCCCCTGGGCCGGCCTCAGATGCAAGCATCTGCTTCTAGAGGCATGCACAGTGTGCCCAGAGCGTGCACACACTTGTACAGAACGAGAGGCCTGGGAAGCTGGCCCCGTGCATACGGACACTGGGCAGCCCCAAAGCTCATCCTCACACGTGACCCCAGTGTGCAGCCTGGACTCTGCTCTGGGGGCTTTCTTCTCCCTTCCACATGCTTCTTTTTGAATGCCCAAAACCTGCCTCCCTTGCTGTTGCAGTGGTCACGTCCACGGCTCGGTGATGGTGGACATGGGGCCCTCACTCAAGGATTTTCGTCTGTGCCTGTCACCAGATTGACATCTGCTGTTTGTTGTCAAGCCCTGTGACCACGAGGGGATGGGGGCTGCTGGGGATACCCCGCCTGGTTCCCCTGCCTCTTCTCTGATGTGGGACCCTGATGGGACACCTGTGAGGAAACACCTGAGCCACCCTCAGAGGAGGCTTCCTGAACCCTCATAACCTTGAAGTCACCCAAGAGAAAGGAAAAGGCCAGCTGGAGTTGGGGAATGGTCCCCTCTGACGGCTTTCTCTGGCAAAGTAAAAAAAAGTTCTCCGGTCAGCTATTTGGGGAATAAAAAGCTACATAAATATAAAGTCACACTTTATATAGCTAGTTAATTTAATTAGACAATTAAATTACACATCAATATAATTCGCCCATTCATTAACATAATGTAATTCTAGAACTTAAAAGCTCTCAAAAATGAAATCTCTAGACCAGATGATTTCATTAGAAAATGGCATGCCGGGCTCGGTGGCTCAGCCTGTAATCCCACGCCTTTGGGAGGCTGAGGTGAGTGGATCGCCTGAGCCCATGGGTTTGAGACCTGCCTGGGCAACTTGGCGAGACCTCATCTCTACAATAATTCAAAAATTAGCCGGGCGTGGTAGCGCGCCTCTAGTTCCAGCTGCTTGGAAGGCTGAG